GAACCAAGCAAGCCGCCGGCACCAGCCTTGAGAAACCGGTGAGAAAGCTTGGATTTCTCCTCCTTTTCTTGTTCTTGAACCCATAAATCTCCCTCCCTTGCTGGAAAATCCGGATCTGCTCTGCTCTTCCTCTTCACCGCCGGCTGCTCCTGCTTTGTGGGTGCAAATCCCCTTGAATTTTCGGTAAGAACGGCCCCTAATTCCTTTGTTCTTGCTTGAATTAGCTTGGGTTAACTTTGATTGCTCTTATTTTCTCCAATTTTTGGGTAAACCCGTGAGCTTCCCTGCACTGCCGCCGGCTTCTCCCCCAGCCAAGCTCGGTTTTGCTTGCTAAATTCTGGTATGGACAGCCTTTTTAAGCGTAAAATTACCCATTAGTTGCTAGGTTGTCCATGAATTATTGCTGGCTGTGTTGTCCGAATTTGACAGAAAATTGGGGAGGAATTCCGGTAGTTTTAGGACAAGTTTAAGCATTAATTCAAGTGGGATTTATGTGATTGAGTGTTAATTGACTGCTATGTGATTTTTGGAGAAAATCCCGTGAATTAGTTAGTGTTTTGGCCAATTTGTGGAAGTAGAGTTACTGTTCACGTCGTGTTTACTGTTCACGGCACTGTTCACATATCACTGTTCATGCACTAATGGTCAACAATTAACGGGGATTTAAATGATTTGTTTGTGATATAATAACGAATTTGGAGATATCTGCTAATGTGGAGATTGATAAAAATAGTACCGTGATTAAGGGTAGTCTTAATGATGATTTCAGTGTGAATTTGTGATAGTGCAGTATTAATTCTTGGATATTTTGATTAGGTTCCTAATCGTTCTGTCAGTTAGCACTGAGATTGAGTGCTTGGTTTTATCGAGTGTTCGGTTTATGTGAGTGAGGTAAGTAAATTTATGGTAATGCCCGTACAGTTTTAAAAACATATTTTGATTTGTTTTTGAAGTGGTGGCGGGACTAAACCCATTTTACACAAGTATGATTGATTTGAAATAAGATTTTTATGCTTTTCATTAAATTGAGCATGTCTACTTGAAATTTAATTGATTGTTCTGATGATTTGAAAGTGATTGGTGAATTATGATTTTTCTGTTAATTTCTGCCTGTTTTGTCTCCGATGTGGTTATGTTATTGTAACCCTGCTAGTGGGGGTTAAATGCTAGCACATGTCGGCACATGTCGATATGTTAGTGATAGAATCGGTTCATACAAGTGACCCTGCTAGTAGGGACTATACACTAGTAAATCGTGTGCCTGCCAGTGGGAAGTTTAATACACTGGTCGTGACCTATAGAGGAGACGTCTATTTCGTTCCCGTACTGTATCCGTTTTCGTGATTACACTTGTTGGCATGCTATAAGTTTAATACGGGGCACTCCATATTTACTTACTGAGTTTATCTCATAGTTTTTCCTTGTCCACCATTTCAGGAAATAAAACCGAGGACGGGGAAACCACGGGAAGTGACGAGTTAGAAGGCTAGCCATTTCGAGATTGATATAGATTTTAGAAATAAATCATGTTTTTTGTAAGATAGATTTTACGTTGAGATTTTAAGTTTAAGTCATGTTGGGCATAAAATTATTGAAATATCTGATTTAAGTTATTGGATTGTCAAATGTGAATTGATTAAGTTCCGAGCCTTGTGCATTTGCGGGACCCGTCTCAAGAGTGTACGACGTCTGCCACGTCTCTGGATTTGGGTTTTGGGGCATGACAAAAATCCAAAGAATAAAATACCAATTAATTTACAACAAATTTTAATAATCCTACAATAAATAAAAACTCATTTATTTTTATGTGGTTTTGCAACATATAATTACTATGTTTACTAGAAAAATAAGAATAAATATAATTTTATTATTATTAAATAAGTAAATATTTTTAGTTGTTAGTGTTAAAATTTATTTTTTAAAAAATTTTAATTTTTAATTCTAAATTTCAATTATCAATATTTATAAAATTTATAACAGTCAAAATCTAAAATCACCATTATACTAAAGAAACTCTATACACTTATTAAGTATTCTTAAAAGTTGAATCAAATAAAATTAATATTTTAAAAATAATAATTGAGAATTTTGTGTAGCCATAATAATTTTTTGTTGTGGCTATAATCATGTTTGCCCAGCGGAAGGAAAACAAGGCTAACGGTAAAGAAATTTAGAAAAAGAAAAAAAGAAAAGAAATCTTTCTTACAGAATTATTACGTAGAGGAGATTATTTACGGAACTTAACGTCCTATAGAAATCATTAATTTATCGAAGGCAGTAATATATAATACCCTCTTTTATGTTCTCTTTGAGGTATAAGAAGAAATAAAAAAACAGCTCAAATTCTCTTATAATTCACTTCTTCAATTATCAAAATAAGTTAAAAATAGACAAAATACAAATAAAAGTAATTAATAAATTATTTATATATTTTAGTTGTTTACACTAAAAAGGACATCATTCAATGGATGATAGAATTTTTTGATAAAAAAATAGATGATAGATTTTTAAATTAAATACTTCATTTGTTTATTTTTAGTAGTTTAATTTTAATTTTTTGATTTTTTTATA